ATTGAGATAAAGAACAGAGTTTATAGGCATATTCTCTTGCACATGCACAAAGACATGCCTAAAGACTTTCTATGCCTTCACCCTCTTTAAAATATAAACATATTTACTTACCAATTAATTTTATCAGGAACAAACTCTGTTGTATCTTGATAACCTCAAAAGGCATATAAGACGAGGCTATGAAAAAGAGTTGATGGTTAAAGCAGACGGTCATGTAGAGCATGATCACTGTATTTCCCACTGCCTCCCTTACGCATTCGGTGAATGTATCAACAGTCACAAAAGATGGTGTACCGACTGTGATAAATTGTTTAATTTCCTAAATTTTATGTATCAATCAGTACTTTCAGAATTTCATTCACAAATAGATAAATCAAAAGAACAATTATTTTATTATCTTTCTCATCAAACACGAAAGGTATACCTCAACGCTCAGTTTAAAGCAACGCTGGCCAAGCTCGACTTTGATGGTGCGCTTTTTATTGCCGATTATAAAATGCGAGTACTACCTCAATCTGTGCATGAAACAAAAAATAAGTTTTACAAAAAACGCGGTTGGACATTACACACAATTTTAGTTCTTACCAAAAAAAATCAAACAGAATTAGATATTAAAGCTTATGATCACTGGTCCATGAATACAAAGCAGGATGCTTGGTTTTTTGCATCTGTATTTGAGGTAGTATTCGAAACGATGGAAAATAAGCCTAAATAGATTAAAGTAATATCTAACAATGGGCCACATTATCATAACTCTGAATTAATGGCCATAGTTGGATATTGGTATGAATGGTACGATATCGAAGTCCATAGTTAGCTGTTCTTAGAACCTGGTGAAGCAAAAACTATTATAGATTCCCATCATACAGTGGTTAGTATCTTTGTATTATTATTATAATATAATTGATTTAACGACGCTATTTTTTCTAAATACGTTATCTAATATACTCACTGCCATTTTCAGATAGCACATGCAATAAAGTGATATTTGTGAATCAGATTTAATTTGGAAGAAGGAGATGATATAAAGAAGGCAGTTAAAAATCTGTCCAGAACTTTGGTAGCAAACATAGAACCGGATCGTAACGATAATGAGGAGTTAAAAAAATTAAAAACTAAAATCAAAACCATTAAGGGAATCTCAAAGTTATTCTATTGGAAATGGCCTATTGAGGGCAGATACAATGGATATATTAGTGCATGTCCACTACCTCATATCGGAGAATGGACAAACTTTTCACCTGTATATCTTAATAAACTTTGGAATATTCCGCCTTAACGACCACAACCAACTAAGTCAGAACCTACAATACCGGAATCTGCATGGACAATTCCAATAGATGATAAAGAAGGTATTTTGTCATATTTGTATTATAGTGATTTAATATAATGCTATAAAAAAAAACCCCTCTAATCTGTCAAAAAATAAAGATGACGTTAGTATGGGTCAAAACCAAGAAGACCAAAGCCAAAATGAACCCTTAGTGATAATATCAATACCAAGGTAGATATTAAGAAATCTGATAGATATTAAAATTGATCCACTTACTAATTTATAATTTAGTATGATAGATAAAGAATTCCTATTGCCTAAAGGATAGGTGCTAAAAGACAACCAAAAGTTAGGCAATAGAGGTGGCGCTAGAATCAAAAAAAACATAAAAACTATGTTAGAAGGTTTTTTTCTGAATGGGAATCGAAATGATAAAGACAAAATAAGCGCAAAGGCCATGCATGCCGAACTCCTAGAATTCATTAAAAATGGAGACATTGAAGCAAAGGATATTCCAAAAACTTCCACAATACAAAATTGGATAAAATCATATACCTGGGCTTTTAAACAAAAAGCAGCAGAAAAGGAACTTGGGTTGGACAATATATAGGATTTACATATGCAACATTTTACAAATCCAATAGAAGAATAATACATGCTTTGCGTTTTTGCATCTTAAATAGAACATTAAATATTGATGAGTTTACAGTTAATAGTTGTAATACGATATATGTTTGAATAAAAAATTTTTACTTCCAGAATTTGTATTCAATAAACCTTGACAGACTATTGTACTTAGGTTCAAAAAGAAAGCCATCATATACTCTTGTAAAGTGTACTTGCTTCTTGTAATTTGAGACTATGACACTTAGACCTAAAAAAAAATTAGCTCAATGTTTTTATAAAGTGCATTCGCTAATACTTTCCTCTCCCTGATCCAAGAATTGCATTGACTAGTTACATTTTCAATGTTCAATTTCCAAACAGGTTAGTATAATCCGAAACTAAAATATAACGTAGCATTCTACAAAATACACCTACCAAGATCATTGTTCTTGTACAGTTCTTTTCTAGCATCTTTTCATCTTCTGATCTAGAACTGCTGCTGAGATCTAAAGAAGTCAAGTATTGCTTTCGCATTGTTTTCTAAAAACCAAGCACACCTAGACAGCACTGAAATGATGACTATAAAAAAAAAAAAAAAAAAAAAGAATCTTAAGCAGTACGAACTTTTATATAATCACGTAATATATAAAAATTTACCATATTAAGATCCCAAAGTACAATGAAATGTAGATAGCATGAATCTGTAAATCTGACTCTTGTTGCGTGCAATATATTTTTGAAAGTCTAAAATTAAAAAATATATATATAAGTTTGTTGCAAAATGAACTAAAAACAAGGTATTACTAATTACCTTGCTATCTACTTAATATAGAGTTTAGCATAGTAAATGCCGAGTGCTTACAAAGTAAAGTCTTTTAAAAAAGAAGATCGATATTTAATAATGCTATAATCAAAAATTTAAGGTTTTGCTCTAGCGTTTGTACTACTTTAGTACTGTATTTGATTAAAAATTTTGTGACTTCACTTATAACCTAAAAATTTCAATTCGACACGTATTCATATGTGATCTGCGTCACATTTTAATATAGAAAATTCTCTGATTGAGTGACGGATTATCAATTAAATTAATTTTTAATTATATAATAAATACTAATACATATTTTTTTTTAGATTAGAAGTCAGTAAAACTATATTTCTTATAATTTATCTATATTATATATATATATAATAATAGGCTTATTTTGTTAATAATGTTGTATAATAAAAATTTGCTTCACTTGTTTGTTTTATATATTCAATTTTCACTTAAGTCATTTAAAGATTCCAAATTCACTTAAGTGAATTTAGAATTAACTTAAGTTGATTCTGAATCTACAAATATCTTGTAACTATCTACAACATATATATTATTCAACTACAATAGAAATTAATGCGAGGTGGTGATGGTATACTTTAAATCAAAAAGTGATTAAGAAAAAACCCAAAAGGAAGTGATATTCTACTACAACAACAAATTAAAATAGGCAGAATTAAAATAAAAGAAAACAGAAAAAAAAAGCTATACACAAATTTAAAAAAAAACTATACAGAAGACTACTTAAAAAAAAAGATAACAGCCATGATAGCTATTTAGCTAACAAAGAAAATACCATAACAAATACCTAACAGGCAAAAAGAAAAAAGAAAATTATAACAGAAAGTAAAAACATCACATGCTCCATATTATACTAAAAGAATACTCAAATAAAAAAAAACTAAATCTTTAATTTGATCTAATTAAGAAAATTCTCTAAAAGCTAGTTGCAATTGAAGAAAGACAGCAAATAGAACCTGCTCCAAATTGCTTCTAAAGATGCCAAAAGCATTCTGGCAAAATTAGAAGTGCTTCGACAAAGTAGTAGTACAAAAAGAGAAAGAGACAAAAACAACCTAGAGACATTATTTATAGAAATATATAATATTAAGGATCTTCTTTAATATAGGTGGGCAATATAAAAATATTATAAGATTATAATATAAAAAAACTTTAACCCTAACTCTAACCTAACTATAAATTATATATAACTTTTACCCTAATCTTAATTAATCTCAAATTTGCTTAAATTAGTTAAAATAGCTATTTTGTATATTATAATCTTATATTATTCTTATATTGCCTACCTATACTAAAGATCAATCAATATTAATAATATCAAAACAAAGATAGCAAAATTAAACTTTTTGGTAGAATATATAAGAGAGACTAATTTAGATTTGGTTGGGCTTTGTGAAACAAATATAGAAGAAAAAGAGAGTAGACAACTAGGCAAAAAATATGAAAACTTTTAAATATTTTGGTTAGAAACTGAAGAGAATAAGAGCAAAGAGTTAGGAATAGATATATTACTAAAAAAAAAGTGGCCAAAACACATATCAAGAGTCAAGAGCAGCAATCTATATCATATAGAAGTACTTTTGATATTTAAACAAATAGAGATAGAGATCCTAATAATATATCAAGCACCAAACAACTTTAGCTTTAAAAAAAAACTACTTAAAATTCTTGAAGACAAAGCAAAAACTCAAGTTAAAAAAAAACTGAACCATTATATAGTATTAGGAGATCTAAACCAAGTTGTAGAGAACAAAAAAAACAGAAAAGAAAAAAGCAAAACTAGGCAAAAAGCTAAACAAAACTAGTAAGAGCACTTAAAGCATATAACTTCAAGGATATATTTAGAGTGCTAAACTCTGATCTAATAGAATATATATAGAAAAAAGATAGCTTAGCATTACAAATAGACTATATATAGCTAAGCAACTTATTTAGCAACAAAGATTTATATAGCAACATTCTTGATATGTTATATGTAACAAATAGAGATCATAATATGGTCGTAGCAGAAATTTTGGCAGGTATTAACAGCAATACTACATTAGTTAGGCAAGCAAAGAACCACAAAAGGCAAAAAAGACTTAATATTGATATCAAAAACACATTAGTAGAAGATTGGCAAAGCTTTAAAGAAACATTAGACAAAGAAATTGAAAGTAGACAAAAAAGAAAAAAAGATAGCAAAAATAACTTAGACGAACTACAGGAGATAGCCAAAAAGATAATTATTAAATCAGCTAACAAACATCTGCCAAAAAAGAAAAAACATATAGCACTAAATAATTTTAGCAATAAAAAGCAAACTAGTGATACAAATCATCAAAAATTTTGCAATCAATTAGTTAGCAACTAAATGATTATTTGATTTTTATTTGATTTTTAGTTGATTTTAATATAATTTGACAAAAAATTTTCAAATGATTAGTTGTCAACTAAGCTAACTAATCGATTTTTTGATTTTTGATTTGTATCACTAAAGCAAACTACTAAAAAAGCCAAACTCTAAAAAGATATTAAAACATTAGACAAAATATAGTGCCTCTTGAAAAAACAAAAATATGATAAAAACATAACTATTCTAGACAAACTTAGGCTAGCTTGTACAGAAATAATAAAAAAAAAAAACTTAAAGAATATACTTAGACACTACTCTCAAATATAGAAGAAGAAGCCTGTATCAAAGCAGCCTAGAATATTTTATTCATCAAGTTGTATAGTATAATAAAACAAAAAATAGTTGATCTTTAGTATAGATAAGCAATATAAAAATAATATAAAATTATAATATAAAAAATAGCTATTTGAACTAATTTAAGCAAATTTGAGATTAGTTAGGGTTAGGGTAAGAGTTATAGTATAATTTATAGTTAGATTAAAGTTAGGATTAGAGTTTTTTTATATTATAATCTTATAATATTTCTATATTGCCTATCTATATTAAAGAAAATCCTAAAAAAACAGATAAAAAAATAAAAGGGCTTATCAAAACAGGATATGATATGATTATCAAAAACCAAAAAAAAATATTAGCAACCCTGCTTGACAGACTTTTTAGAAAAATAATAATAAACAAGATAGCAGTCACAAATGAAAAGAGAGATATAGACCTGATACATAACTCTGAAAAAGTCAAAAATGAAGTTAGGAGATATTTTCAAAACCAATATGTGAAAAGAAACCCAAAGCTATATAATATGGCAAAAAGGTAGAAAAAGATTTATACAAAAAGAGAAGATATACAAGATTCTTGATACAAAGATCTACTGCAAGAAGTTATATTAGAAAAATAGAACAATGTAATAAGCAAAACAAAAAATAGCTCAGCTTATCAAATATAAGCTACTCAATTCTTATCCCTTTTGATATCAATTTCATACAAAAGAATATTTAATTTCGTACAAAATGATATTCAGTTTCCTACAAAGTGATATTCAATTTTGTACAAAGTGACTTTTAAATTTGTACAAAGCAATATTTAAATTTGTACAAAATGACAATTAAAATATATTTGATTAAATAGTGATATCTTGTAATATAGTGATCCAATATAGATAATTTTAGTACTATTTAAATTGATTCATCGAGAGAATCTGAATAGTACCAAAATCATTAATATTGGATTACTATATCATGAGATATCACGATTTAATTAAGCTTATTTTAATTGTTATTTTGTACAAATTTGAATGTTGCTTTGTACAAATTTAAAAGTCACTTTGTACAAAATTGAATGTCACTTTGTATAAAATTAAATATTATTTTGTACAAAATTAAATATTATTTTGTACAAAATT